AAAACGAGGCAAAGATCTTGTTACCTTTATATTTAAGAAATAGAAAACTTGTACAGTACCATGTTTCTATCGAGTTTTAGCATAAATCCACTAGCGTTCTATCAAGAATGCTGTTCACTGATTGACTATACTACTCACTACCTATTCTGGTTGTAGATGGTAAGTAGCGTAGCATTCTGCGCTTGTTAACAAAATGACGGCCACTACTTTGCATTTTCGAAGTGTCTGTGAGGAGGATTTAAATAACATTTTGAAAGACTAGTAGATTTATACTAAAACAGTTAGATTATTCGCTCTCGATTTCTATGCATGATAGTTGGCTCGGGCTGTGCCCTCACCAAATATCAAGCGATAGAAATCTCCAGCTCATAATCTAATTGTAATAGATACACAATCCTAAACCAACCAGTATACATATTTTCTTTGAGCTATTTTCCAAAATAGATTGCAACTCCCCTAAAAAAACCCAACCACCCTTCCCCTGGCCCAGGTAATAGAAACACCATTTACCTTGTAACACAAGGATAACAACTGACAATACCTCTAACAAAGTGCTCGCTCCGGTATAGTCCCTCATCTGCAAGAAATCGTCCAGTTTGGGTAATTTCCTTTTCTTTTTCGAGTCCTTAGCGGATGACACTGTATTTCCTGAGCCGGGGCCTACGGCCGGCTTCTTCCTTGAAAGCATCTGTAAGATTCCACCAAAACAGGATCATGAACCATAAAAGCGAAATTTTTGAAACCGCACAGGTTTGGATTGTTGACTGTACGAGTTCAATCAATTATTTTGTTGTCGGTTGCCATACAACAAACTGCGTTTCCACCAAAAAAAGAAGGTCTTACCATTTTGTCGACGGAATTTCTTGAACAGATCACAACCTGATACGTTTGTTTTTCAGCAAACTGACTTTTACTTTGGACAGGCCGTTGTAAAAGGATTTTTTAACTGGAACATTTCGTTTGATGTTTGGTCGCTACGGCCGCCATTTTGCCCACTCTTGCACACAGCCTCAAGATCATGCGGCAAAATATTCACTCTCTATGGTGAGGTGGGGAAGTTGACAATATGGCGGCTAAATGGCAACATGGAAGACACTGGTGAATTGGCCAACAATAGGCCCAAATTCAATGGTCGAGAGGAAATTTCCATTACAGCTCATCGTAAAGGAGTTTCATGTGTTAAAATTAGTCCAAATGGACAATTAATAGCTTCATCGTCAGCCGACAAACTGATCAAAATATGGAGCTTTGCGGGAAAATTGGAAGGGACATTGAAAGGACACAAGCTAGAAGTCTCAGAAGTTGCTTGGAATTCAGAAAGCCGACTTCTTGTTTCGGCATCAGATGACACTAGTGTAAGAATATGGGATCTCTCCAACAAAACGCGCGTTACAACACTTCTTGGTCATCAAGACTACGCTTTTTGTTGCTCCTTCAATATGAAGACAACATTGGTTGTGTCAGGCTCATTTGATGAAAGCATTAAGATCTGGGATGTATCTGAAGGTGCACAGTTAAGTTATTTAATCATTTTATCTTTTTATGAAATATGGTCTCTGATGTGGCTGCTGGATACCAATTCTAATACTAACTGACAGTAAATGACCCAAGAAGTGGTAATTATTAAATTTTATTATATGGCTTTGGCTTGTGGCCGATATAACGCGCGTTCTGATTGGTTAATTGTCACTGAA